GTTTAGTTTGATTTTTTTAGTGGCACTAATGGATGTATACCGGATACTCGCTATGTACTACTTCTCACCCTTGAACTTTTGAGGAGCCCAAAGCAGCTAACAGACCTCTGGAGACTTGAGTATATTCTGTAATGGAGTAGCATCGGGCCTCATGTTCACTCCCGTCTCAGTACCCGTTCCATTGAGGAGATCAACCAGCCTGCCCATTTTTCTCTACTCATGAGGGAACATTTTTCTATTTATAGAGGTAATATATGTGCTTCTTTTTTTTCTTTTTTAGAAATTTCAAAGCAAATAATGGAGAAAAGTATGCTCCAGAAGAGAGCAAAATCTCCCAAAATTCTACCATCTAGAGATAATCAGCCTTACCAGTTTGGACCTGTCTCCATATAAGCACAATTTTGCATGAATGGGATCAGCTGTACATGCACCCTGATTTTTTTTTTTTTAAGCATTGAGAAAACACATTCAGTTCTGATACTATAAAGTGTCTTATGGCTGCCTGGGAGTGCCCTGTGTGGATGTACCACAGTTTTCTTTTTGTTTTTAACCAATTCCCTACGAATGGACATTAGGTATTTACCAATTTTTTGCTCTTAGAAACAACTCTGCCCCTTTGACATGTACCTTGAGCACTCGTCCAACTATCTCTTTGGAATGAATTCTCTGGGCTGAGATTTCTGAGCCAAAGAGCATGTCCTGGGCCCTTCGTCAGGCAGATGGGGTCGTCCTTCTTTCGGTTTTCACCACCCCTGGTGGTAGCCTTTGTTTCCAACTTTTCCATTCTGCTTGGCAGCACGTAGTACCTCCTCCTGTTTGTATTTCTGTACTTACTAGTGAGGTTGAACAACCTTCTCATGCGTAGTAATCATAATTTTCTCCTTTTGTGAATGTCGGTTCATGGCTTCTATCCTACCAAAGCAAAATGTTGTACGCTATTGAGAGCATTACTATAAAGAATGTTCTCATTTTGTGGTTAAATAATAAAAAACCCAGCTTTCTGTAGTAATTTTCCTTTCAGCTTGAAGAAAACTTTGTGTTTTTTGTAATTCATGGTAGTCTATCCTTTAGAGAAGGGAAGGGGTTACAATTACAACCTCTCAGAACCGTTTCCTTAAACAGACAAACAAACAAAGAAAAACTTTTGCTATGAGAATAGATATTTTTATTAGAAGTGAACATTCCATTTTGAAATGCTTTGGATAAATTTCAAACAGCTTTGCATATCATATCTCAGAAATTTCTTGCTCACTTATGATTGTGGTTTAATCATTAAAATAATTGCAACAGAAAATAACCTGTAAAGTTGTATCTTAAGCTTTCTTTGATAGGAAGTAATTGTTATTGTTCACAATCCATTCTGATACTTTGAGAGTTTAGTTTTTAGCAGAATTCTGTTAGGTTAATGTCTTGTGCTCTCATCACACACAATTTTGAAAAGAAACTTGTTTAGAGGATAATGGGGCCGAGGCAGAGAGTGAGGAGCATATTAACGAGGTTGAGGCTCAATGAAGCCATCAACGTGGTTAATTGAATGAAATGTGTAGTCTTTGCTTTTACTTTTCTTGAAACTACCACTTTTAAGTTACAGACTCAGTGAGAGGCTTATATATATTTTCATCTTGTGAAAAAAAAAATCATGCAAATTTTGCAAAATTTATACTGTCTTCACAACTAAAACAATTCACTCAAACATTTTCCTTGAAAGCTCCCTAGACTGTGGTTGGCCATTTTTCTATATTAGTCTGGATTTTTAAATATTAGAATGAACACAACAGAAAGAGATGTGTTATAATGCAGTATGTTGCCTTGCACCTCAAGCTGCTCTTCACTGAGTCGCAGCTTTAAGATGTTCTTTCGGGAGCACCTGCTGTCTGTCTCCTCCTGTTATTTCAACAGATTGTGGAGACTTTGTCTGAACCCTGGAGTACACTCATCTGCAGTAGATGTTGTAAAAGAATGAAATGAATCTATCAGACCCGTGTTTCACTTAGTGGCTAAAGTAAGAAATGCCACTGGGGGTGAGAAGTCTTGGTGAATGGTCATTTGTTCCCATTATAATTGCCCACTCCCATTTGTAGCTTTCAAAGCTACAAACGCTTTATTTGGAATATTCTTATGTTACTTTGGTGAAGGCTTTGAAAGTTCCTGTTGTTATTACACATAGCATGAGAAAAGTGACAGTTTGTTGTTTTTCCTGCTAGCTGTTGGGTGCACGGCTGCTTTCATGCTCTGTGCTTATTTTTATATTAAGCATGTGAGAGCTAATGAGTCAGATTGTCAGCTCTAAGGTATACCCTGTGATTTTCAACTCTTGTTTGCTTTGTGTATCTTCTCTTTGACTCTCTCTGTCTCCAGGGGTCCTGGCTTGCCTGGATGGCTACATGAACATAGCCTTGGAGCAGACGGAAGAATACGTAAATGGACAACTCAAGAATAAGTATGGGGATGCATTTATCCGTGGAAATAACGGTAATATTCCTTCACGCTACAGTTGTCAACATCCGAAATAAGCCTTTTTATTTATAATCGGGGTTACTAGTGGGTTTTCCAGATAATTTAAAAGTTTGCTTTTAGCTTTGCTTTGTTTACTTTTAAATTATTATATCTCAGATCTTCAATGTGACCAGTTTTTTTTTTAGATGCTTCATGGAATTTTGGGACTAGCAATTCTGTCCTCCCTTCCCTGTACGGATGAGGAACTGGGGGGCATTGGTATACTGACCCAGAGCCCTGTTCTCTTGAATACACTTAATTCTGTTCCGCCAACACTCCCTCTCACACTGGAAGCTGGCCCTGGAAGAAAGGCCGGTATTTCCCTGCTCTCTCTGGATTGCATCACTTGGCAGTCAGCTTGTCCTGTTTGCCCTTTCTCTGTTAAGCATTCAAACGCTTTTTGTGGAATTGTATCCCTTACTTTGCCAAAAATGACAAAATAGGAAATATGGTTCTAAAGTTCCTCAGCTTTTTAACAGGTAATGTATTGCTGTGATTATTATGGCTACTTTTAAGTACCTCGTTTAAAAATATGTGATCAGTAAAGTCATATTTGAATTTTTCAGGGGGAAGAAGAGACCTCAAAACTGTGGGAATTATCCCTTGACCCCCTCCCCACATTTTGGTCTCATTCCCTAAATGGAGCTCTGGGACTCCTGAGTTTGGACTTTTTTTAATTTTAATGATGTGTATTCCTTAGGTCTGGATAACTTCTTCAGCCTCCTGAACAGTTGAATCTCTTCACTATGAACTAAATGTCCTGACTTATTGTAGGTTCTGTCTCCCATCCTTTCAGTATCATATTTCTTCACATCATATCTTTATATATATCTTTTGTTTGCTTTTTAGTTCTTCTAACATGTAGAATTTTTCTTCCCATTTTTCATATTGCTTTTATTTGACTTGTTCCATTTGTTAAGAAATGTTAAGATTTTTTTCCCCCATCTCCAGACAGCTGACAGCAATAGTCAGTGGCAAGCTCTGTGCGTGGTGATGAGGTAGATCCTGCCCAGGCTTACGTCTAGAACTTGTTCAGTTTCCCAGGGGCTTTTTTACTGCTGTTCTGATGCTTTCTTTCATGTATCTCTTGCCATGATATAATCAGGTCGTTATCTTTAGATTTCCAAATTAACATTCTTGGCCTCTTAAAGAGGATCCTGACTTATTTGACTAATCTGGACTATGTTCTGTGATCAAGATATCTCTTAAAGTTCACTTGGAACAAACCTGTCAGAATCTGGGTAGGCCTGGGGGGTGGAGTGGAGGTACACCTGTGGTGAAAGCTGGACCAGAGTGACCCAGTCACCACTTTTGCCTTACTCTTCTGTACCACATATCGTGGAGTTCAGCTTGGGTGGCCACAAGAGGACTAGCTAAGCAAAACTTTGGACAACAGCAAAAGCTGGTACTTCACCAGGAAACTCAGAATAAAGGCTGTGGTATATACATATATTTTTAAAAGACAAACTCCTCAGCTCTGGTTTATCTTGTTGCAATTCAAAAAGTAAACGGCCAATTTAGAGTTTATATCAGGGAGATGGATGAAAATATGTTCTTTATTCGTAATATGAAGTCTAGCCTGGTAGATTTATTGATTTACTTTACTACAAGCATAATTATTATACTTATAAAACATTCTTAGATTCCAATAACTTTCACGAACATTGTATTTTATTGTCCTGCTCACATTTTGCAAAGTCAGTCAGATATATAGCTAAGACTGGAACACAGTCCTCTTAAGACATCAAACCCAGGTCTAGATTTGTAAAATTTGTCTGAGAGTCGTTCTAGAATTTATTGTGTGGTGTGAAAATTCCTTTAGAATTGGCAGAGGTGTCAGGCCAAATTCTGTTTGCGTTTGAAACTTGCTGTTCTAGGCTGGCTTGAGCGAGCTCTGAGCAACAGCGGTTCGAGTCCCGCCCGAGCTGAGCTGCCACTGAGCTGCCAACAGGTGGCAGGATGGCTCAGCTAAAAAAAATGTAAAAAAAAAGAAACTTATGAAACTTGCTGTTCTGATACTTAACAGTTTTCTGTGTTTTCTTTTCAGTGTTGTACATAAGCACACAGAAGAGAAGGATGTGACGACACCAAGAGTACAATACTTTTCAGACTCGGATATATTTTTTATGGGATTTTGGTTCTTTTTGATATCACTTGTCCTGTTTCATAATAGTTGGTGATATTTCACTGACATTGAGTAAGATAAATGTATAAAATTGTGGATTTAACTGTAAAGAATTTTTTTATATTTAAGATCCAGTCATTTTCTTTTTACCTCTGTGTCGTGCAGAATGCAAAAAAAAGAAAAGAATAAAAAAAAAGAAAATCATTCTCCCTACGTGTTTTTTAACTGAACTTCTTTTTGTTTTGTTTTGTTTTTAAAAATTTTATTGGGGACTTGGGGGAGGGGAACAGCGTTGGGGAATTGGGGAAGGGGAACAGACAAGTTGCTGTCCTTTTGTTCTTCAGTCTAGTTGTGGAGGATGTTGCTTCACTGGCCCATNATGAGTCTGCGGAAGCAAACCCCCAGTGACTTCTTAAAGCAAATCATTGGACGACCCGTTGTGGTAAAATTAAATTCTGGAGTGGATTATCGAGGTAATATTTTCATGCTTCCTCCTCACTGGTGTAATTAGATAAGTATATGTGACTTACTGATTTTTATTAATCTCATAAATGACCCAAGTAAACCAAAAACTCATTGGTTGTCAAGCAGTTGTTGTGCCCACTTCTTTTTCTACCTCTGAGATGGTACCTTTTAGAAACACCTCTGACACCAGCCTGTGTGCTTCTGACACCCGGTGTGATTTGTGTGGCTTCTGGCTGCTTTGAGATCGTGTGTGCCCAAGCTCCCTGGCCATAGCCCGGGGTTCCCAGTCACCTCAGGCATGAAGTCCCCTCAGATACTGAGGAACACCTTGGCACAGCAGCATTTGTTTTTGCAGAAGTATTCAAGACTGACAAGCCGCTATTTAGACAGTATCGCTTTACAGCATGAACTTCCCACTCACGCAATCTGGGTTATCCAAAGACGCCTTTCTGTTCTTTTAGAGAATGCTCTTTTTAAGGGTATGACACTAATGAAATTAAGTTTATGGGAGGAATGGTGTCAAATTCCATTTTAAAAAATAACGAAATTCCTAATCTTCCAAAACAGATTTGTTAAATTCCCTGGAATATTTTACAGGTACAGCGAAGTAATTCATTAGCAGCTTTATAGCCTTTTCTTGGTCTCTCTTCTGAGTGATGATAATAATCTCTCAAGCTTTTTCGTCTTTCCACACATGCAAACTTCATTTTATTGAGAGCTTACTATGTGTCCAGTGTGGTAGATCACTTTAATTTTCATTTTATCTTGACATTTATCCGCTGAGATCTCTGTTGGTGATCCCCACCAAGTAAGGGAGAAGTCAGGACTCCAACGCAGGCTCGACTCAAAGCCTTGTTAGGGAATCACTCTGCTGTTTATGAGTCGCTTTAGTTGCTTAACATTAATAACCTCTCCAGTTTAGTTTGATTTTTTTAGTGGCACTAATGGATGTATACCGAATACTCGCTATGTACTACTTCTCACCCTTGAACTTTTGAGGAGCCCAAAGCAGCTAACAGACCTCTGGAGACTTGAGTATATTCTGTAATGGAGTAGCATCGGGCCTCATGTTCACTCCCGTCTCAGTACCCGTTCCATTGAGGAGATCAACCAGCCTGCCCATTTTTCTCTACTCATGAGGGAACATTTTTCTATTTATAGAGGTAATATATGTGCTTCTTTTTTTTCTTTTTTAGAAATTTCAAAGCAAATAATGGAGAAAAGTATGCTCCAGAAGAGAGCAAAATCTCCCAAAATTCTACCATCTAGAGATAATCAGCCTTACCAGTTTGGACCTGTCTCCATATAAGCACAATTTTGCATGAATGGGATCAGCTGTACATGCACCCTGATTTTTTTTTTTTTAAGCATTGAGAAAACACATTCAGTTCTGATACTATAAAGTGTCTTATGGCTGCCTGGGAGTGCCCTGTGTGGATGTACCACAGTTTTCTTTTTGTTTTTAACCAATTCCCTACGAATGGACATTAGGTATTTACCAATTTTTTGCTCTTAGAAACAACTCTGCCCCTTTGACATGTACCTTGAGCACTCGTCCAACTATCTCTTTGGAATGAATTCTCTGGGCTGAGATTTCTGAGCCAAAGAGCATGTCCTGGGCCCTTCGTCAGGCAGATGGGGTCGTCCTTCTTTCGGTTTTCACCACCCCTGGTGGTAGCCTTTGTTTCCAACTTTTCCATTCTGCTTGGCAGCACGTAGTACCTCCTCCTGTTTGTATTTCTGTACTTACTAGTGAGGTTGAACAACCTTCTCATGCGTAGTAATCATAATTTTCTCCTTTTGTGAATGTCGGTTCATGGCTTCTATCCTACCAAAGCAAAATGTTGTACGCTATTGAGAGCATTACTATAAAGAATGTTCTCATTTTGTGGTTAAATAATAAAAAACCCAGCTTTCTGTAGTAATTTTCCTTTCAGCTTGAAGAAAACTTTGTGTTTTTTGTAATTCATGGTAGTCTATCCTTTAGAGAAGGGAAGGGGTTACAATTACAACCTCTCAGAACCGTTTCCTTAAACAGACAAACAAACAAAGAAAAACTTTTGCTATGAGAATAGATATTTTTATTAGAAGTGAACATTCCATTTTGAAATGCTTTGGATAAATTTCAAACAGCTTTGCATATCATATCTCAGAAATTTCTTGCTCACTTATGATTGTGGTTTAATCATTAAAATAATTGCAACAGAAAATAACCTGTAAAGTTGTATCTTAAGCTTTCTTTGATAGGAAGTAATTGTTATTGTTCACAATCCATTCTGATACTTTGAGAGTTTAGTTTTTAGCAGAATTCTGTTAGGTTAATGTCTTGTGCTCTCATCACACACAATTTTGAAAAGAAACTTGTTTAGAGGATAATGGGGCCGAGGCAGAGAGTGAGGAGCATATTAACGAGGTTGAGGCTCAATGAAGCCATCAACGTGGTTAATTGAATGAAATGTGTAGTCTTTGCTTTTACTTTTCTTGAAACTACCACTTTTAAGTTACAGACTCAGTGAGAGGCTTATATATATTTTCATCTTGTGAAAAAAAAAATCATGCAAATTTTGCAAAATTTATACTGTCTTCACAACTAAAACAATTCACTCAAACATTTTCCTTGAAAGCTCCCTAGACTGTGGTTGGCCATTTTTCTATATTAGTCTGGATTTTTAAATATTAGAATGAACACAACAGAAAGAGATGTGTTATAATGCAGTATGTTGCCTTGCACCTCAAGCTGCTCTTCACTGAGTCGCAGCTTTAAGATGTTCTTTCGGGAGCACCTGCTGTCTGTCTCCTCCTGTTATTTAAACAGATTGTGGAGACTTTGTCTGAACCCTGGAGTACACTCATCTGCAGTAGATGTTGTAAAAGAATGAAATGAATCTATCAGACCCGTGTTTCACTTAGTGGCTAAAGTAAGAAATGCCACTGGGGGTGAGAAGTCTTGGTGAATGGTCATTTGTTCCCATTATAATTGCCCACTCCCATTTGTAGCTTTCAAAGCTACAAACGCTTTATTTGGAATATTCTTATGTTACTTTGGTGAAGGCTTTGAAAGTTCCTGTTGTTATTACACATAGCATGAGAAAAGTGACAGTTTGTTGTTTTTCCTGCTAGCTGTTGGGTGCACGGCTGCTTTCATGCTCTGTGCTTATTTTTATATTAAGCATGTGAGAGCTAATGAGTCAGATTGTCAGCTCTAAGGTATACCCTGTGATTTTCAACTCTTGTTTGCTTTGTGTATCTTCTCTTTGACTCTCTCTGTCTCCAGGGGTCCTGGCTTGCCTGGATGGCTACATGAACATAGCCTTGGAGCAGACGGAAGAATACGTAAATGGACAACTCAAGAATAAGTATGGGGATGCATTTATCCGTGGAAATAACGGTAATATTCCTTCACGCTACAGTTGTCAACATCCGAAATAAGCCTTTTTATTTATAATCGGGGTTACTAGTGGGTTTTCCAGATAATTTAAAAGTTTGCTTTTAGCTTTGCTTTGTTTACTTTTAAATTATTATATCTCAGATCTTCAATGTGACCAGTTTTTTTTTTAGATGCTTCATGGAATTTTGGGACTAGCAATTCTGTCCTCCCTTCCCTGTACGGATGAGGAACTGGGGGGCATTGGTATACTGACCCAGAGCCCTGTTCTCTTGAATACACTTAATTCTGTTCCGCCAACACTCCCTCTCACACTGGAAGCTGGCCCTGGAAGAAAGGCCGGTATTTCCCTGCTCTCTCTGGATTGCATCACTTGGCAGTCAGCTTGTCCTGTTTGCCCTTTCTCTGTTAAGCATTCAAACGCTTTTTGTGGAATTGTATCCCTTACTTTGCCAAAAATGACAAAATAGGAAATATGGTTCTAAAGTTCCTCAGCTTTTTAACAGGTAATGTATTGCTGTGATTATTATGGCTACTTTTAAGTACCTCGTTTAAAAATATGTGATCAGTAAAGTCATATTTGAATTTTTCAGGGGGAAGAAGAGACCTCAAAACTGTGGGAATTATCCCTTGACCCCCTCCCCACATTTTGGTCTCATTCCCTAAATGGAGCTCTGGGACTCCTGAGTTTGGACTTTTTTTAATTTTAATGATGTGTATTCCTTAGGTCTGGATAACTTCTTCAGCCTCCTGAACAGTTGAATCTCTTCACTATGAACTAAATGTCCTGACTTATTGTAGGTTCTGTCTCCCATCCTTTCAGTATCATATTTCTTCACATCATATCTTTATATATATCTTTTGTTTGCTTTTTAGTTCTTCTAACATGTAGAATTTTTCTTCCCATTTTTCATATTGCTTTTATTTGACTTGTTCCATTTGTTAAGAAATGTTAAGATTTTTTTCCCCCATCTCCAGACAGCTGACAGCAATAGTCAGTGGCAAGCTCTGTGCGTGGTGATGAGGTAGATCCTGCCCAGGCTTACGTCTAGAACTTGTTCAGTTTCCCAGGGGCTTTTTTACTGCTGTTCTGATGCTTTCTTTCATGTATCTCTTGCCATGATATAATCAGGTCGTTATCTTTAGATTTCCAAATTAACATTCTTGGCCTCTTAAAGAGGATCCTGACTTATTTGACTAATCTGGACTATGTTCTGTGATCAAGATATCTCTTAAAGTTCACTTGGAACAAACCTGTCAGAATCTGGGTAGGCCTGGGGGGTGGAGTGGAGGTACACCTGTGGTGAAAGCTGGACCAGAGTGACCCAGTCACCACTTTTGCCTTACTCTTCTGTACCACATATCGTGGAGTTCAGCTTGGGTGGCCACAAGAGGACTAGCTAAGCAAAACTTTGGACAACAGCAAAAGCTGGTACTTCACCAGGAAACTCAGAATAAAGGCTGTGGTATATACATATATTTTTAAAAGACAAACTCCTCAGCTCTGGTTTATCTTGTTGCAATTCAAAAAGTAAACGGCCAATTTAGAGTTTATATCAGGGAGATGGATGAAAATATGTTCTTTATTCGTAATATGAAGTCTAGCCTGGTAGATTTATTGATTTACTTTACTACAAGCATAATTATTATACTTATAAAACATTCTTAGATTCCAATAACTTTCACGAACATTGTATTTTATTGTCCTGCTCACATTTTGCAAAGTCAGTCAGATATATAGCTAAGACTGGAACACAGTCCTCTTAAGACATCAAACCCAGGTCTAGATTTGTAAAATTTGTCTGAGAGTCGTTCTAGAATTTATTGTGTGGTGTGAAAATTCCTTTAGAATTGGCAGAGGTGTCAGGCCAAATTCTGTTTGCGTTTGAAACTTGCTGTTCTAGGCTGGCTTGAGCGAGCTCTGAGCAACAGCGGTTCGAGTCCCGCCCGAGCTGAGCTGCCACTGAGCTGCCAACAGGTGGCAGGATGGCTCAGCTAAAAAAAATGTAAAAAAAAAGAAACTTATGAAACTTGCTGTTCTGATACTTAACAGTTTTCTGTGTTTTCTTTTCAGTGTTGTACATAAGCACACAGAAGAGAAGGATGTGACGACACCAAGAGTACAATACTTTTCAGACTCGGATATATTTTTTATGGGATTTTGGTTC